CCGCAGTGAATACAAATGGCCGAATTTGCAAAATATCGCCAAATAAAACAATGCCGGATGTGGAGTTATCGCGAGCCTGGATACTTTCAATTTCGGCATTTAGAAAATGGGGGGCTGTTTAATCCGGGCTCGTCGCTGCTCCCTAATGAACGCATTGTGCTCGCTCCCATTCAACTACTGAAATAAACTATGCACATCCGAGCGACAGCCTGAAAAATTAGCGAAACAAAACGCCACACGCTGTCTAATGGATGTGAAATCTGAAAAGATTTCGCTCTGCTCACCTCCGTACTACATGCCGAGCGGAAATTAACGTCAGAATGGGAATCTGAAGTTCCATTTCCGGTAACACTAAACCCTCGTAATGGACGTTTTCAATACATTGTGTCGAAACTGTCGGAATAAAATATAAGTGGCTTTGAACATACTCATAACGTTCGAATGCGACCGAGCTTTTAACGGAATATGAATTCATCGCGCCTGCTATGGTTTGAAAGAAATTAAAGCTCCTTCAGCCGGAAAAGCACTTTCCACGTTCTATGGTAAATATTAATTTTGCGTATGCCGGTGGCTTCCGATTCGCATCGCTCGCCCACGAAATCACACGAGATCATGCCTACTCCTGCAATAAATAAAACGCAAAAAATTCTCTTGCGTCTTAAACCAGATAATTATTAATGTTTCCTGCGGACGAGCCGCAAATTCGGCTGATCAGCAGCAGTTCGTAATTTGTTAAGTGTCCCGTTCCCTTTTTAGGTGAAATTTCCGAGGTCCCGTCTGAACCATCACTTTCAGATGGTGCAGGAATCCTTTTGAAACAGACCCTTCCCTCTGTTCACGGAGGCGGAAATTCTTTAACAAGTTTGACGTTTTCGGGAGTGACGAAAAATGGGGAATATTTCGTGATGGCGATCCCTAATGGGCTCGCTACCACAGGTGCATAAATAAACGTCAGAATGCGAAGAATGCCCACGATTAATTGCTCAGAAACTATTCCGCACGAAAATTTCAAATTCGCGGCCGATTCATGGAATAGTTTGTTCTGGGTTCGAAACGTCGCCGATGAGGGAGTTTTATTTAAGGGAGCTATGCGGAGTATCAATTTGTAACGGTGACATTTTCGGAGTTGTTATGGCGCTCATATTCGAGGAAGTTCATACCTTTGTTGGTTTCTTTGGGATTGTAAAGCGAACTTTATTATGAAGCGGGAGAAAAATCGTTATTATACGGTTATAATTCGCCGAGAAAACGTAATTTAGAATAATTTAAAACGACTTCTATGTTTAGGAGAATTGCAACTTGCAGTAGTTAATTCAGTGAACTTTAACAAAGGTCACATGGTTACTAAAAATATTACACGTGCTAATGTTAATTCAATATTTGCGTCAAGGAGGCCATGCGGATCACCGTTTAATGCTTACTAGCAGTGGCGTAAATAGCACCCCCGCAGACCCCGCAATGCAATTGAAAATAAGATCAGGTAAATTACTAGCTATTTAACGAACAAGTTTGTTAATAAAGATGATTAATAATCGAGATATTTTAACGCGCGAGGAACGAGTTTTTATAATTTTTCTTTTTCTCAATTTGAAATTTTTCAGTTTTTGGATTTTTCAATTTTTTTTGTTTTCAATTTTTCGTTTCTTCAATTTTTGATTTGCAGGTTTTCTAATTTTCATTTTAGATATGTAAAAATAATTATAATTTTTATTAGAGTTGTTCACTTTTTCAGTTTTTCGTTTTTGGAATTTTTTAATTTTTCGATTTAATTCGTTCTTTGATTCATTAATTTTTTCTCGATTTCTAGTTTTTCAATGTTTCTATTTCTCGTTTCTTCAGTTCTACAATTTTGTCAAATAAATGTTATATAAATTAAAAAAAAGTAACAGTGTACCTATGGTCTATGAATCCGTGTTGAATTTTTATCTTCGACATCGAAATTTTTGTGGAAAAATAAACAAAATTGAATTACAATTTTTCGATTTCTTGATTTCTCGATTTTTAGTTTACTTAATTTTTCGATATTTCAGTTTTACAATTTTTGCAATTTAAAAAAAAATTCATTTTTACATTTCTCAATTTCTCTATTAATGAATTCTTTGATTTCTCAAGTTTTCGTTGTTGGAATTTTGGGATTTTTCAATATCTCCAATTTTTTAATTTAAAATTTTTCACTTTTTTGATATATCGATTTCTCGATCTTTCGGTTTTTAAAATTTCTGATTTTTCGAATTTTGAATATTTTGATTTATCATTTTTTTTCAAGTTTAAATATGTATTTCAGTTTTAATTTTCCGGTTTTTCGATTTCTCTCGGATCTTTTGATGTCTCAATTTTTTAATTTCGATTTCTCGGCTTTTCCATTTTTCAATTTTTTATTTCTTCAAGTTTTTAGATTTTTAAAATTCTCCATTTTTCGATTTTATGTTTTGTTATGCTTCGATCTCCCGATTTTAACCTTTTCAACGTGTAACATTTCAATTTTGAGAATGTCTATATTTTTCAGTTTTTTGATATTTTCATTTTTCAACTTTTTAAATTTTGATTTTTCGACTTACCGGAAATCGATTTTTGGGTTTTTCAATTTTTCGACTTTTCAGTTTTGAGATTTTTCAGTTTGTCGATTTTTTAGTTTTTCATTTCTTCAGTTTTTCGGTTTTTCAAGTTTTCGAATTTTTAAATTTAAAATTTTTCAATTTTTCGATTTAATTTTTTTACGTTCCGATTTCCCGATTTAAATTTTTTTTTATGCTTTTCAATCTTTGGTTTTTCTAAATTTTCATTTTTCCATTTCTCAATTTCTCGACTTTTCGACTTTTTGATTTTGTGTTTTTTTTAATGTTAAATTTTTTGTTATTGTAATTTTTCTATTTTTTAATTTTAGATATTTAGATTTTTCGACATCTTGAATTCTCGATCTTTTTTCAGTTTGAATTCCTCGGTTTGTCGATTTTCCAAAATTTCGATCTTTCAATCTTTCGACTTTTCAGTTTTGAAAATTTTTGATTTCTCGATTTTTCAGTTTTTGATTTTCCAACTTTTAGATGTTTCAAATTTTAGAGTTTGCAAATTTCACGAGTTTTCAGCTTTTAATTTCGTCAGTTTTTCGATTTGCAATTTTTCGTGTGGATTTTTAATTTTCTTTATTTTTTCAATTTTCGGCTTTCAATTTTCCGTTTTTTTAATTTTTCATTTGCAGTTTTTCTAGTTTTCATTTTAATTATATAACACTCCTAATAATTATAATTTTTAAAGTTGTTTACTTTTTCAGTTTTTCGTTTTTGGAATTTTTCAATTTTTCGGTATTTGAATGTCACAGTTTTTGGACTTTACAATTTTCAAGATTCTATAATTTTTCGACTTTACAATTTTTGGATTTTAAAATTTTTCAATTCGAATGATTTTTCTTCTTTCCCATTCTTCGATTCATTCATTTTTTTTTAGATTTTTAAGTTTCTCGGTGTTTAGTTTTTCATTGTTTCAATTTTTCATTTTTTCGAATAAACAAAATCGAAAAATTATAAAATAGAAAAATTGTAAAATTGAAAAAGTAGAAAATGAAAGCTTCGAAATACAAAAAAATTGGAAATCAAGAACTTAAAAAATCAAAGATTGAAAATGTAAAAAATTGAATAAACAAAAAATTATAAAATCCAAAGAAACATTGAAAAAATAAAGGTAATGGAAAAATGAAAAATTGTGATATAAAATCAAGAAAATGAAAATTACAAAATCGGGAAAATGAAAATATCGAAAATCTGAAAAATATAGAAATTGAAAAATTCCCAAAATTGAGATAGCGAAAACTTAAAAATCGAGAAATCGAAAAATTTTTAAAATTGGAAAATTGAGATATGAGAAATCGAAAATTCCAAAAATGGAAAAATTGAAACACATTAAAAAATTAAAATCGAGAAATCGAAACATAGAGATTATAAAAGGGAAAAATGAAAAATTTAAAAAATCGAAAATTTAAAATATATACTGGAAAAATCGAAAATTTTGAAAATTGAAAAACCAAGAAATCGAAATCGAAAACTTGAGACTTCAAAAGAGAAATCGAAATAGGCCGAAATCGGAAAATTCAAAATTGAAATATTTACTTAAAAAAAGATAAACGCAAAAATCGAAAAACTCAAAAAAATCGATAAACCTAGATATGAGAAACAGAAAATTCCAAAAATCGAAAAATTGAAATACAGATTAAAAAATTTAAAAAAATCGAAGTTAAAAAATCGTGGAAACAAATTCCATTCGATTTTCCGTTTTATCGATTTTGCAATTTTTTGTTTCTTCAATTTTTTCCAATTTTTTAATTCTCCGATTGTTCAATTTTTCGAATTTTCTACATTCGAATAAACAAAATGGAAAAGTTATAAAATAGAAAAATTGTAAAATTGAAAACTCAAAATGAAAAAACGGAAAAGTATAAAATGAAAGCTTCCTGAAATCGAAAAACTTGAGAAATTGAAGAAACGGAAAATTCAAAAATCGAAAGATTAAAAATTGAGAAACTTAAAGATCGAAAAATTGAGGTCGAAAACACGAAAATTATTGTAAAATCTAAATATTGAAAATTGGAAAATCGAGGAATTGAAAATGACAAAACAAAACTGATGACGTCATGTCAAAACACTGCTAATTAACACCCAAATTTTACAAAAGTATACATACACAGGTCAATGATGTTAACAATATCTCTGAATTGCGTAATAAGTGCACTCTTATCACTTCCTTCTATTCAATACACCACACAAACATATTTACAAATTCCAGAGTCGGATTAAAATCAAACAAGACTAAAATCACGCTTCGCATTTACACCCAAATTTTAAACGATGTAAACCACACTCAGTTTTCTCCTAAATGAAATTAGCACCCGTAACACCATATTAGCAAAGATCCCCAAAAATTTTACTTCGATTTCGACCAAATAGAATCCGTCTCTGATATTAAGATTATTGATAAATTGGCATTACTGGTCATAATTGAACACAGTTAACGAAATGAATCAAGACGCTAATCTTTACGCAAAAAGCTGCGAATTGCAAAAAATTGACGCTAATCGCGTCCTTAATGAATACTTTCCTTTTTTACAGTGGCGAGGGGGTGATTGTATTATGGACGTCGGTGCAGCTGAAGGTTCGGTGAGTCTGGAGGTGGTTTTGCCGAAATTGCCACCAAACTTCAAGAAATTCGTTCTATCTGACATATCGGAGGACCTACTCGATTTCGCTAGAGACAGAAGTGACGACGAAAGAGTCCAATTCTGCCCCATGGATATATCGTCTACTATTCCAGATGGGTTTCGTCAACACTTCGACCACATTTTTTCGTTTTACTGTTTAAATTGGGTGTCGACACGACTCAGTAATATTCAAGCACTGAAGAATATCTTCGACATGTTGAAACCAGGTGGGGACGTCGTGCTTACCATCATGGCCAGTTCACCTCTGTACGACTTTTGGCAAAATATGGCACTAACTGAAAAATGGGCAGCGATTTCGAAAAATTTATCCGGTTTTTTGTCGCCGTACCACAACCAGAATAACCCAGAAGAAGTATTACGGGAATTTCTGGAAGAAGCAGGATTTGTAATCCACGACTGTAAAATGGAAACGCGCTTTTACACGTACGGGGCTTTCTCAGTTTTTTTAGGTGCTATTTCTCGTCAGTGGTTTGAATGTGATAACACTTACGTTCCAGATAGCGGATTATCCGTCAATCCGTTCATCCATTTACTTTCCGAAGACGAACGCAAGGAATATATCGAAGACTATGAAAAAGAAATAAGGAAGCACCACGAGATCACCGTAACGGGTGTCAATGGTAACGAAGAACTCAGTCTTTCCTATAACATTATTATTGCTTGTGCTTCGAAACCTCTGGAGTCACAGTGACAACCACTGAGTACACCCCACCGGAATCTGTTATTTCGTCTTGATTTGTCTTTAATAATAAAACTTTGGGGGTTATTCATCTTGACCTTTGATGACTTTACACGTGTTGCATGTAAATGCAATCTAATTAGTCCCCTTGAACTTATTGTGTAGCAACAAATAAAGATAACAATGTCGTCACACATTTTGTAACTGAGCAACGTTGCATATTTACATCGAAATTGATTTAGTTTGCTCAATAGTTGGAAATGCGCCAACTAATAATTTTTATCTACAAACTTTCACCTACAGATATGACCTTCGTGATAAAGTTTCCAAAAAGCAAACATTTCGGGAGATAGAACTCAAACATGAACGAAGACGGTTCTCTGTACGCCGAAACGTGCGATTTTCAAAAACAAGATGCTAGTTGCATTCTAGACATGTATAGTCGGTTGTTAAAGTGGGGTGATGGTGACCATGTAATGGATGTGGGTGCAGGCGAAGGGTCTGTCAGTTTGGAGGTCCTTTTACCGAAACTACCAACAAACTTCAAGGAACTTGTCCTGGCTGACGTATCTTCGAAATTATTAGACTTTGCTAGGGAGAGATGCGACGACGAAAGGGTCAACTATCGCCAGATGGACATATCGTCAAGGACCATTCCCGACGAGTTTCGTCAACATTTTGACCACATTTTTTCCTTCTATTGTTTAAATTGGGTCGTGGGTGTTGACGAGTGAGTATTACAAGTTCAAACTGTCGAAAATAACACAAATTCTGTAGGAATAAGCGAGCAATGAAAAACATCTTCGATATGTTGAAACCCGGAGGCGACATACTTTTTACTATCATCTCGAGCACTCCGATTTACGACTTTTGGGAAAACATGGCCAAAAGCAAGAGGTGGGAAAACTATTCTAACAACGTAAACAACCTGATTTCGCCCTACCACCACTTGAACAATTCCGCTGAAACGTTAAGACGGTATTTAGAGGACGCTGGGTTTATAATCGATGTGTGTCAATCTCAAAATTGTTGCTTCACGTTTGCGACATTTTTGAAGTTTTTGAGTAAATTTAGTCGTGGTTTCTACCTAAGGGTGTGGGGACAAAAAATCTGCACAAATTTCAAACTAGAATAACTGTATTATAAAACCAGGTATTAATAACGTGATCAACAACATTTATAAAAACAACTTTAAAGAACACAATCTGCACCATATCTGCTTGCTTTACGAATTTTTGTTTTAACACGGCGCATTAAATTTGTAAAAGCCGATATTTTTGTTTGCCGTATTTTCAGCAGTATACGCTTCTTTAATTCTGCATGTGTCGAGGCTTCCCATCCATTTTCGTACACATTCCTCTTTAGGTTTCTCCAAAAACGTTCAATTGGGCGTAGTTGAGGTACGTTGGGAACATTTTTGTCCTTAGGGATAAAAGGAATGTTTAACTCATTATATGCAGCAATAACGTTAGCTGCGTAATGAGCTGTTGCCATGTCTGGCCAAAATACAAAATTGCCATCCGAATGCTTTTCTCTTATAAAGCGGACAAGTCGAGACCTAATGCACTGTTTTTCATAAATATCTGCATTAACAGAATTTCCAGATGGGCAAATAAACGCAGTAGAATGTCCACGTGAAGAAATGGCCAACCAGACCAACAACTTGGACTGAAATTTTTTATGACGTTTGAATTTCACTTTATCATCTACTTCTTCTCCTTCCTTGCAATAGAAATGTTTATTGTTAGCAGTATCGCTACCATCAAAAGTGAAGTAGGATTCGTCATCGATGATTATTTCAGTTCCATTTGAGGGGGAAAAAGCGGATTCAGAAAGATGCCTTAATTTTCGTTTTTGTTCCAGCTTTTGTTTTTCTGAATATTTGGGGGCGGATTTTCGTGTTGCAAGCTTGACATTGTTCTCCTTCAATATGTTGCTAACATACTTTTTGTCAATTTTAAATTTCCGTCCAAGCTTTCTTAGTGAAACACCAAGTTTACCGTGACTTTGATTGACTAAGGCTTCTCTCTTCTTCTGGGGCATTTTTCTTGCTGGTCTTCCGCTTCCTACTTGCCTTTCTACCGAATTCCCATTCTCTACTCTTCTGCAAATGCTATAAGTTGTCCTTTTTGATATCCCCATTTGGAAGAAGTGATTAACGGTGAATGACTTTTTTAAGTGCATATGCTTTCTATAAAATTCGGCAATCACAGATCGGCGATCATTTTCATTCAAGTGTTCCATTATTACAAAAAATATTGAAACTTTCAAGAGGAACTAGGCATAACAATTTTTAACAACTGTTAAAAAATGTCATAACGTCAACCGTCATTTTTCTCAAAGCTAACTCGATTTTCGGTAAATTAAAATTTGTGCAGATTTTTTGTCCCCACACCCTTAGTTGTCTAAAGGGTCTGTTTCAGAAATGGCATTGTCGGTAAATCCGTTTTTCCAGTCCCTTCCAAAAGACCGCCGTGCGAAATTTATCGACGACCACGCCGAAGAGATCAGGAAACATCCCAAGATCGCCATTTTTCAAGATGGCGCCGGAAACGAGGCGCTTCAGCTGTCGTACAAAATTCTTGTCGCTTGTGCTTCGAAACCATTGAATACTGTATAAACTAGTATTATATAAACTTGTATCAAGATCGTAATAAATTAACCGTTCTCAATCTTGGCTTGGAAAAAATTCGATAAAGTCAAGCGTAGGTTACTTTTTAAAGATGACTAAATAAAGAGTCAGAGCAAAACTCGTTTTTATATAATAGATTTCTGGAATCATTCTAAAAGTTAGTCATCAGTACTTGCTAAAATAAAACGGTTTTTTTAAATTATTTAAAAAAATTTTTAGGGGACTTTGGTGTTCTATTTTAGGAAAATTCTGACCTGACTTGTTTTTGAGTTAATTTTAGGACTTTTTTTTTGAAAAATTTAAAACAATCTTGAAGTTCTAGGTATTCCTGGTTGGAAAGAATTTGAAAGTGCTTTGGGGAGCCTCTAGTGTCTTTTCTTATAATAATTTAATTAAATTTCTTAGAGGATAAGTCATTTGTTAAAATTGGTATTATCTTAGCGGGTACTAGCCCCGCCCGCCCACCCTCTTTTCTTAAAGAGTAAGTCCTTTGCCAAAATCGGTCTTATTGTAGCAAGTACTAGCCCCGCCCACCCACCCTCTCTTTTCTTAGTAGGTATCTCATCTGCCAAAATCAGTTTTATCTTAACAAGTACAAACCCCGCCCACCCACCCTCTCTTTTCGTAGAAGGTATGTCATTTGCAAAATCAGCCTATCTTAGCAGGTACTAGCCCCACCTCTCCGCTAGACGGATTTTGATAAATGGCATAGCCTCTAAGAAAAGAGAGGGCGGGTGGGCGGGGCTAATACCTGCTAAGATAAGAGTAATCTTGGAAGATGAGATACACTCTACGAAAAGAGAGGGTGGGTGGGCGGGGCTAGAACCTGCCAGGACAATAGCGATTTTGGCAAATGAGATATCTTGTAAGAAAAGAGAGGGTGGGTGGGCGGGGCGACTACCTGTTAAGATAAAATTGATTTCTTTTTTTAATTATTTAAAACAAGTTTGGGGGACCTTGGTGTTCTATTTTTGGAGAATTCTGACTTGACCTATTTTCGAGTAAATTTTGGGACTCCGTTTTTTCTTTTGAAAAATTTAAAACAATCCTGAGGTTCTAGGTTTTCCTCTTTGGAAAGAATTTGAAAATGCTTTGGGGAGCCTCTCGTGTCTTTTTTATAATAATTTAATTAAATTTCTTAGAGGATACGTCATTTGCCAAAATAAGTTTTATCGTAGCAGGCACTAGCCCTGCCCGCCCACCCTCTCTTTTCTTAGAGACTATGTCATTTGTCAAAATCGGTTTTATTGTAGCAAGTACTAGCCCCGCCCACCCACCCTCTCTTTTCTTAGTGGATATCTCATCTGCCAAAATCAGTTTTATCTGAACAGGTACAAACCCCGCCCACCCACCCTCTCTTTTCGTAGAAGGTATGTCATTTGCAAAATCAGCCTATCTTAGCAGGTATTAGCCCCACCTCTCCGCTAGACGGATTTTGATAAATGGCATGGCCTCTAAGAAAAGAGAGGGTGGGTGGGCGGGGCTAGAACCTGCCACGATAATAGTGATTTTAGCAAATGAGATACCCTCTAAGAAAAGAGAGGGTGGGTGGGTGGGGCTAATACCTGCTAAGATAAGAGTAATTTTGGCAAATATATACCTTCTACAAAAAGACAGGGTGGGTGGGCGGGGTTAGTACCTGTTAGATAAAATTGATTTTTTTTTGTAAATTATTTAAAACAAGTTTGGGGAACTTTGGTGTTGTATTTTTGGAAAATTCTGACCTACCTGTTTTTGAGTTAATTTTAGGACTTTTTTTTGAAAAATTTAAAACAATCTTGAAGTTCTAGGTATTCCTGGTTGGAAAGAATTTGAAAGTGCTTTGGGGAGCCTCTAGTGTCTTTTCTTATAATAATTTAATTAAATTTCTTAGAGGATAAGTCATTTGTTAAAATCGGTATTACCTTAGAGGGTACTAGCCCCGCCCGCCCACCCTCTTTTCTTAGAGAGTATGTCCTTTGCCAAGATCGGTCTTATTGTAGCAAGTACTAGCCCCGCCCACCCACCCTCTCTTTTCTTAGTAGGTATCTCATCTGCCAAAATCAGTTTTATCTTAACAGGTACAAACCCCGCCCAGCCACCCTCTCTTTTCGTAGAAGGTATGTCATTTGCAAAATCAGCCTATCTTAGCAGGTACTAGCCCCACCTCTCCGCTAGACGGATTTTGATAAATGGCATGGCCTCTAAGAAAAGAGAGGGTGGGTGGGCGGGGCTAGAACCTGCCACGATAATAGTGATTTTAGCAAATGAGATATCTTCTAAGAAAAGAGAGGGCGGGTGGGTGGGGCTAATACCTACTAAGATAAGAGTAATTTTGGCAAATATATACCTTCTACAAAAAGACAGGGTGGGTGGGCGGGGTTAGTACCTGTTAAGATAAAATTAATTTTTTTTGTAAATTATTTAAAACAAGTTTGGGGGACTTGGGTGTTTTATTTTTAGAACATTCTGACCTGACCTGTTTTCGAGTTAATTTTGGAAGTCCGTTTTTTTTTGAAAAATTTAAAACAATCTTGAAGTTCTAGGTATTCCTCCTTGGAAACGATTTGAAAATGCTTTGGGGAGCCTCTAGTGTCTTTTTTATAATGATTTAATTGAATTTCTTAGAGGATAGGTCATTTGCCAAAATAAGTTTTATCGTAGCAGGCACTAGCCCCAACCGCCCACCCTCTCTTTTCTTAGAAACCATGTCATTTGCCAAAATCGGTCTTTTTGTAGCAAGTACCAGCCCCGCCCACCCACCCTCTCTTTTCTTAGTGGGTATCTCATCTGCCAAAATCAGTTTTTTCTTAACAGGCACAAGCCCCGCCCACCCACCCTCTCTTTTCATAGAAGGTATGTCATTTGCAAAATCAGTCTTATCTTACCAGGTACTAGCCCCACTCCTCCGCTAGACGGATTTTGATAAATGGCAAAGCCTCTAAGAAAAGAGAGGGCGGGTGGGCGGGGCTAATACCTGCTAAGATAAGAGTAACCTTGGCAGATGAGATACACTCTACGAAAAGACAGGGTGGTTGGGCGTGGCTAGAACCTGCCACAACAATAGTGACTTTGGCAAATGAGATATCTTCCAAGAAAAGAGAGGGTGGGTGGGTGGGGCTAATACCTGTAAAGATAAGAGTAATTTTGGCAAATGAGATATCCTCTACGAAAAGAGAGGGTGGGTGGGCGGTGCGACTACCTGTTAGATAAAATTGATTTTTTTTTAAATTATTTAAAACAAGTTTGGGGGACTTTGGTGTTTTATTCTTGGAGAATTCTGACCTGACCTATTTTCGAGTAAATTTTGTGACTCCGGTTAAACAATCTTGAGGTTCTAGGTATTCCTGTTTGGAAAGAATTTGAAAGTGCTTTGGAGAGCCTCTAGTGTCTTTTCTTATAATAATTTAATTAAATTTCTTAGAGGATAGGTCATTTGCTAGAATCAGTACTATTTTATCAGGTGCTAGCCCCGCCCGCCCACCCTCTCTTTTCTTAGAGAGTATGTCCTTTGCCAAAATCGCTCTTATTGTAGCAAGTACTAGCCCCGCCCACCCACCCTCTCTTTTCTTAGTGGGTATCTCATCTGCCATTTCGGTTTGGATAGAATTTGAAAGTGCTTTGGGGAGCTTCAAGTGTCTTCTCTTAAAATAATTTAATTAAATTTCTTGGAGGATACCTCATTTGGTAAAATCGGTATTATCTTAGCAGATGCTAGCCCCGCCAACCCACAAAATCGAAAAATGTAAAATTTTAAAAATTTCTAATTTAAAGTATCAAAAATGTAAAATTTAACCGGAAAATTGAAAAGTCGACAAACGAAGAAATTGAAAAATTTCAAAACTCAAATGATGAAATCTTGGGAAATCGAAAAGTTGAAAATAGGGAAAATCGTTAAACAAAGAGTGAGAACTCAAAAAACGGAGAAAGCGAAACACCAAAAAATTGAAAAATTTAAAACTAAAAAAAAAAATGGAAAATTTTAAAGTCGATAGATCGAGAAATCGAACCATCAAAAACATGAAAAATTAAGAAATTTAAAAATAGAAACATCCAAGAACTGAAAAATTTTAAATCTTAGAAATTGATAAATTAAACTATTAAAAAATCGAAAAAGTGAAGAAATAAAATACTGAAAATCCCAAAACTGAAATATCCAAACGTTGACAAATCGAAGTCAAAAATTTAAAAATCTAAACATGGGAAAATCGAGAAATCTAAAAATCGGAAAGTAGAAAAATTAAGAAAAAAAAACGAAATGTTAACAAACCGAAACATCAAAAAATCGAAAAATTAAATATCAGAAAATAAAAAGTTTAAAATTTAAAAATCGAAAAATTGAAGAATTAAATAATGAAAAACCTCAAAACCTCAAAACTCAAATATCGAAAAATCTAAAACCGAGACGTCGAAAAATTGAAATACATATTGAAATATGGAAAAAATTGAAACTCGAGTAATCGAAACATTAAAAAATCGAAAAGTAGAAAAGCTGACAAAGCGAGAAACCGAAATATCGAAAAATTCAAAAGCTAAAAGATCAAAGATCGAGAAATTGAGAAATCGAAAATTTGAAACCTCAAAAATTGAAAAATTTAAAAATCGAAAATCTGAAGAATACAAAAATTTGTAACTCCCAACACTAAAATATCGAAAAATTGAAAATCTAAAAATGGAAGAATAAAAAACCTAAAAAAAACCTAAACTGAAAGATCGAAAAATTGAGAAAACGAAAGTATAAAAATGGGGAAATTGTAAAGTCGAAAAATTAAAAAAAAAAGCGAAATGTCATGAAATCCAAAAACCGAGAAATCGAAACATCGAAAAATTCAAACACTGAAACATCAAAAGCTAGAAAAATTAAAAATTGAAATTTTTAAAAATCCCAAAACTAAGATATCAAAAATCTGAAAAATGTAAAAGCGAGACGTCTTGATAGATCGAGAAATCGAAACAGGAAAAAAATTGAAAAATCTAAAATCACAAATTTCGAAAAATTGATAAATAGAAATATCGAAGAACTGGAAAATCGAGGAATCAAACAAACAAAAATTGAAAAATTTCATCGAAAAACTGGACAAAGCGAGAAATCGAAACGTCAAAATATCGAAAAATTAAATAATCTAAAATTTGAAAATCGAAAGTTTGGAAAGTCGACAAACGGAGAAATTGAAAATTTTTAAAACTCAAATGAGACAAAATTGAAAAATTAAAAATGGAAAATCGAAAAATAGGAAAATCGACAGACAGTGAAATAGAAACATCGAAAAATTCAAGAACTGAGAGGGTATCTCATTTGCCACAATCAGACTTATCTTAGTAGTAATAAAAATTTTAAAATCGAAAGATCGAGAAATCGAACCATCAAAAACCTGAAAAATTAAGAAATTTAAAAATAGAAACATCCAAGAACTGAAAATTTTTAAATTATTTTAAAAACTGCTAAATTAAAATATCAAAACATCGAAAAAGTGAAGAAATCAAATACTGAAAATCCCAAAACTGAAATATCGAAAAATTGAGAAATCGAAGTCAAAAATTTAAAAATCCAAAAATGGGAAAATCGAGAAATCTAAAAATCGGAAAGTCGAAAAATTTAAGAAACGAAATGCCAAGAAATCGAAACATCCAAAAATCGAAAAATGAAAAATCTCAAAATTCAAATATCGAAAAGTCTAAAACCGAGACGTCGAAAAATTGAAATACGTATTGAAATATCGAAAAATTGAAACTCGAGTAATCGAAACATTAAAAAACCGAAATATCGAAAAATTCAAAAGCTAAAACATCAAAGATCGAGAAATTGAGAAATCGAAAATTTCAAACCTCAAAAATTGAAAAATTGAAAATCTAAAAATTGAAGAATAAAAAACCTGAAAAAACCTAAAACTAAAATATCGAAAAATTGAGAAATCGAAAGTATAAAAATGGGGAAATTGTAAAGTCGAAAAATTAAAAAAAAAAAACGAAATGTCATGAAATCCAAACACCGACAAATCGAAACATCGAAAAATTCAAATACTGAAACATTGAAAGATACAAAACTTAAAAATTGAAATTTTTAAAAATCCCAAAACTAAGATCTGAAAAAACTGAAAAATGTAAAAGCGAGACGTCTTGACAGATCGAGAAATCGAACCACGAAAAAAACTGAAAAATCTAAAATCAAAAATTTCGAAAAATTGATAAATAGAAATATAAAAGAACTGGAAAATTGAGAAATAGAAGAATCAAAAATTGAAAAATTTAAGCGAGAAATCGAAACGTCAAAAAATCGAAAAATTAAATCATCCCAAATTTGAAAATCGGAAGTTTGGAAAGTCGAGAAACGGAGAAATTGAAAATTTTTAAAACTCAAATGAGGAAAAATTGGAAAATCGAAAAATAAAAAATGGAAAATCGAAAAATAGGAAAATCGATAGACAGTGAAATAGAAACATCGAAAAATTCAAGAACTGAAAAAACTCACTTGCCAAAATCAATCTTATCTTAGCAGGTAATAGCCCCATCTATTTTCCAGACACCCGGTATAAATGGACAGTGAGAAATTTACGTCCGATGGATTTTAAAAAATGCCATATAATTTCTTTCTAATATCAAATCGGTATGTTATTTTGATTACCAATTAGGAAAATCATCAGTAATTCTTGTAAATGAAGTTAAAGATTTAGGAATAATTTTTGACTCCAAACTTACGTTCTCAGTGGTACTAATTTATATGTACAGAAAAATTCGACTGGATTGGAATGGACTTGACTAGACTAGACTTTAATTCCGTCATTACTGGACTCTAAACCCATACAGTTCTCTGGATGGTTCGCGAACGCCGCTTCGAGGTTTTTCTGGACCCCGCTCCAGGCTTCATCGCTGCACATACTAGAAAACCCATAGGCGTCGTACCGGGGCAGACTATGGGTTTATTTAGTAACAGTATGTACGATAAACTTACTTAGTGAATGGTTTATATTTTTTATTTATTTTATTAGTTTTCTTTTGTATTTTTAAACATTAATGTCTATTTATATGGTTTACGTCATTGTAAATTTGATAGGTTTTGATAAAGTTAACAACCGGTGTCACAGGACTGACGTTAAACTACTAAAATATCTCTGAACTACGCAAAAAATAACGCATTGTCGAAGAACGACGAATATTTATTTGAACACCTTCACTCAGAAAAAAATCCACCATGAACGAAGACGCTTCTCTGTACGCAGAAACCTGCGATTTACAAAAAAGAGACGCTGCTTGTATTTTAGACACCTACTCGGGGTTATTAAACTGGGGAGATGGTGATCACGTAATGGATATTGGTGCCGGAGAAGGATCTGTCAGTTTGGAAGTTCTTCTGCCGAAATTACCAACAAACTTCAAAGAACTTATCTTTGAAACTACTCGAGTTTGCAAGAAGCAGATGCGACGATGAAAGGGTTAGTTACCGTCAGATGGACATTTCTTCGAGGACGTTTCCAGAGGAGTTTCGTGGACGCTTTGATCACATTTTTTCGTTTTATTGTTTGAATTGGGTTGTTGGTGCAGATGAGTGAGTATTTAGATTTCGGTTATCGGTAAATCGAAAGAACTGTTTATAGGAAAGCACAAGCGATGAAAAACATCTTCGACATGTTGAAACCAGGAGGTGACATAGTCTTCACGATCATTTCCTGTACTCCGATTTACGATTTTTGGGAAAATATGGCTAAAACTGACGAGTGGGCGCCGTATTCGAAAGACGTATCTGATTTGGTTTCTCCGTATCACCACTTGAAAGAACCCAGTTATACTTTACGAAAGTATCTAGAAGACGCCGGATTTGTAATTCATGTGTGGAAAGTTGATAATTGCTCTTACGAGTTTTCAGATTTTTTGATTTTTTTGAGTAACTTTTTGAAAATGTTACCTCCGTAATTTATCTATGGTTTTTTAGAATTGGCATTATCAGTAAATCCGTTTTTCCAGTCGCTTCCGGAAAATCGACGTGCCAAATTCGTCGAGGACTACGCCAAAGAGATTAGAAAACATCCTAAAGTCACTATTACTCCAGGCGGCGACGGTAACGAAACACTTCACTTGTCTTACAAAATTCTCATTACCTGCGCTTCAAAACCGTTAAAATAAATAGTATATAGGGTGGCAAAAGCACGCTTTTTAGTTATGGTACGCATGTTTTTGTTGACTTTATTTTAATTTTATCTGTCTTAAATATCAATATTTTTGGCACGTGCGTTTTATCTTTCGTTTTAATGTATTTTCATTAGCTCCGATTACACAAACAGCTGACCTAAATTGCCATTTTGTTTCTTTTGTTGAAGTTCTTTAACCCTCACGAATAATCGCTTTCTTTATCTTCAAAAATGACTCACTAAATTGGCAGACATTTATCTTAAAATAAATTAAATATTGCAAACATAAACATGTGCGTAACGATACTCAAACACTACGTTACTCATGTTTTTAAATATTTCTAGATTCCCAAAGACACTTAGAAAAAACTTGCCCTTCTTTCAGCAAATAACAACGTGCTCTTTGAACCGAGTTCGACTTTGTTTGCTCGAAATATTCCCGATCAATTAATTAAAGCATCATTTGGACTGTATGCTAGCGATATTTGTAGGATCCTTGAGGGGCTTAACGCTCATTAGGGTGCTCTTGATTTCTCTCCGTTAACATTAGCAACAAACAGCCATATTTAGAACGACCTGAACACTGTTACTTTATTAAATTACTCAAACAAATTTCAAAATTGGTACCTACGAAATAATTATAAAATTCGTTAACACTGCAATTTACTCCGAAAATATCCTCGCAAACCGGAATTTTCCTTTCGGTCAAAGGTGACACCTGTGTTTTTTTTTTAAATCAAAGATTACGCTAATTTGTCAAAGTAATAAACGTTCTTTTAATTTATTCGCCAAATATTATTATTAAAACGTTTTCTATTTTAATTAAATGTAGGAAAATTTCACTACAACAACCATAATCGCCGCTCGGGGAAATTTTAAAAACCGTCATGTAAAATTTTTGTATTCTGTTATTAATGATATGTTTTTTTATACCGGGTCTCATTTGCCAAAATCAGTTTTATCGTAGCAGGTACAAGGCCCGCCCACCCACCCTCTATTTTCTTAGAAGGTATGCTATTTGCCAAAATCTGTCTTACTTTACCAGGTACTAGACCCGCCCACCCACCCTCTCGTTTCTTAAAGGATATCTCATCTGCCAAAATCTGTTTTACCTTAACAAGTACTAGCCCCGCCCACCCACCCTCTCTTTTCGTAGAGTATATCTCATTTGTTAAAATTAGCCTTACCTTAGCAGATGGTATACCCTCTAAGGTAAAAAAGGGTGGGTGGGCAAGGCTAGTACCTGCTACGACAAGAGTGATTTTGGCAAATGAGATGTTCTCTAACAAAAAAGAGGGCGGGTGGGTGGGGCTAATATCTGCTAAGATAAGAGTAATTTTGGCATATGAGATACCTTTCACGAAAAGAGAGGGCGGGTGGGCGGGGCTACTACCTGCTAAGATAAGAGTAATTTTGGCAAATTTTCCAAAAATAGAAAACCAAAGTTCCGCAAAACTGTTTTAACTAATTGACAAAAAAAATATTCATCGATTTTTAACAAAGATCGTTGGTACTCGGAGAAGGTGTCACAATAAAAAAAAGACAGTTGGTACCCCCGAGAAGGTTTTACATTTTTGATCAAGAGAGTTGAGATCCCCGACAAGGTTTTATATTAAAAAAAAAAAAAAAAAAGAGGGAGCCCCCAGAAGATTTAATATTTTTATAAAAAAACACTTGGGGCTCCCCAGAAGATTTCGACTTCTTTAAAAAAGGACAGTTGGTACCACTGAGAAGGTTTCACATTCATAAAAAAAGACAGCTGCGACTTCCAAGAAGGTTTTACATTTTTAAAAAAGACATTTGGGGCCCCGAGAAGGTTTCACATAAAAAAAAAGAAACACATTTGGCACCACCGAGGTTTTACATTTTTAAAAAGACAGTTGGGACATCCGAGAAGGTTTTACATAAAAAAAGACATTTGGCGCCTCCGAGAAGGTTTTACATTTTTAAAAAAGACAGTTAGGACCCCCGAGAAGGTTTCACATTCTTAAAAAATGACATTTGGGGACCCCGAGAAGGTTTTACATTTTTAATAAAGACAGATGGGACCCCTGGAGAAGGCTTTACATTTTTAAAAAAGGCAACTGGGACCCCGGAGAAGGCGGGGCTAATATCTGCTAAGATAAGAGTAATTTTGGCATATGAGAAACCTTCCACGAAAAGAGCGGGCGGGTGGGCGGGACTAGTACCTGCTAAGATAAGAGTAATTTTGGCAAATTTTCCAAAAATAGAAAATCAAAGTTCCCCAAAACTGTTTTAAATAATTGACAAAAAAATATTCATCGATTTTTAATAAAGACAGTTGGTACCCCCAAGTAGGTTTCACAATAAAAAAAGACAGTTGGTACCCCCGAGAAGGTTTTACATTTTTGATCAAGACCGTTGGGATCCCCGATTAAAAAAAGTACATTTGGGGCCCCCGAGAAGGTTCTACATTTTTAAAAGAAACAGTTGGGACCCTCGAGCAGGTTTCACACTCTAAAAAAAAAAAACAAAACAAAAAACATTTGTCACCATCGAGAAGGTTTTACATTTTTAAAAAGACAGTTGGGACATCCGAGAAGGTTTTACATAAAAAAAGACATTTGGCGCCTCCGTGAAGGTTTTACATTTTTGATCAAGACAGTTGAGATCCTAGACAAGGTTTTATATTAAAAAAAAAAAAAAGTGGGAGCCCCCAGAAGATTTAATATTCTTATAAAAAAAACACTTGGGGCCCCCCAGAAGGTTTGGACTTCTTTAAAAAAGGACAGTTGGTACCACTGAGAAGGTCTCACATTCTTAAAAAAAGACAGCTGGGACTCCCAAGAAGGTTTCACAATTTTAAAAATATATTTGGCGCCCCCGAGAAGGTTTTACATTTTTAAAAAAGATATTTGGGGCCCCGAGAAGGTTTCACGTTTTAAAAAGAATACATTTGGGGTCCCGAGAAGGTTCTACATTTTTAAAAGAAACAGTTGGGACCCCCGAGAAGGTTTCACATTCTAAAGAAAAAAACAAAAAACAAAACATCTGGCACCACCGAGAAGGTTTTACATTTTTAAAAAGAGAGTTGGGACCCCCAAGAAGATTTAATATTCTTAAAAAAAGACACTTGGGGCTCCCGAGAAAATTTTACATTTTTAAAAAAGACAGTTAGGACCTTCGAGGTTTCACAATAAAAAAAGATATTTGGTGCCCCCGAGAAGGTTTTGCATTTTGAAAACTGACAATTGGGACCCCTGAGAAGGTTTCACATTAAAACAAAGCCATTTTGCTCCCCCGAGAAGGTTTTACATTTTTAAAAAAGACAGTTAGGACCTTCGAGAAGGTTTCACATTCTTAAAAAATGACACTTGGGAACCCCGAGAAGGTTTCACATTTTTAGTAAAGACAGTTGGGACCCCTGGAGAAGGCTTTACATTTTTAAAAAAGGCAATTGGGACCACGGAGAAGCTTTCACATTCTTAAAAAGACCTTTGGTGGCCCCGAGAAGGTATTACATTTTGAAAAAAAAAAAACATTTGGGACCCCCGAGAAGGTTTCACAGAAAAAAAATACATTTAGGTCTCCCGAGTAGGTTTTACATTTTAAAAAAAGACAGTTATGACAACTGAGAAGGTTTCACATTCTTGAAAAATGACAGTTGGGAACCCCGAGAAGGTTTTACATTTTTAATATAGACAGTTGGGACCCCTGGAGAAGGCTTTACATTTTTAAAAAAAGGCAATTGGGACCGCGGAGAAAGTTTCACATTCTTAAAAAGACCTTTGGCGTCCCCGAGAAGGTATTACATTTTGAAAAAAAAAAAACATTTGGGACCCCCGACAAGATTTCACATAAAAAAATACATTTGGGTCTTCCGAGTAGGTTTTACATTTTAAAAAAAGACAGTTATGACCCCCGAGAAGGTTTCACATTCTTAAAAAATGATAGTTGGGAACCCCGAGAAGGTTTTACATTTTTAATAAAGACAGTTGGGACCCCTGGAGAAGGCTTTACATTCTTAAAAAAAGACAGTTAGGACCTTCGAGAAGGTTTCACATTCTTCAAAAATGGCAGTTGGGAACCCCGAGAAGATTTTACATTTTTAAAAAAGACAGTTAGGACCTTCGAGAAGGTTTCATAATAAAAAAACATATTTGGCGCCTCCGAGAAGGTTTTACATTTTGAAAACTGACAATTGGGACCCCCGAGAAGGTTTCACATTTAAACAAAGCCATTTAGCTCGCCCGAGAAGGTTTTACATTTTTAAGAAAGACAGTTGGGACCCCTGGAGAAGGCTTTACATTTTAAAAAAAGGCAATTGGGACCCCGGAGAAGCTTTCACATTCTCATTTCACATCAAAATGGCGACGTCTGATACGGACGTACCTACCAGTGATCCGACAATTTTATTACAGTTAAAGTGTGAAAGATGCAAGAAAGTTGTCACAAATGCGTGCATTCGTTGTGTAAAATGTGGTGTAACGTATCACCGTAGTTGTGCCTTTACTAAAAATGAAAGATCTAAGTGTTTTCATTTTCTTAGTGAAAATGAAATGCAGTGTATTCACCACCAAGTTGATGATCAAGTTGATACAGTTGATGTCTTAACTTTAAATGAAGATGAACCAATGTCACAAGCCATTATTGACTTTCTAAGTAGCAACAAATTTTCGGGAATTCTACGTGATGCAATTGTTGCAGCTACTGCTCCGTTGCAAAACACTATTGAAAAACTTAAGCAAGAACTCTCAGATCTGAAGTCTACTAATATCGATATGATACGATTATTTAATAACTGGCCAGAGAAGAATTTAATAAAATCATCGGATAAGGAGGTTGGTGCTTTATCTGACTTTTTTTTAGACGGTGATAGTAAAACTTTTCGCAACGGAGGTCATCGAACTCAGCCGATTAAAACCCAAAAAACAACGACGGAAAGAACTATAAACACCAACTTGATTTCGGATGTCCCGTCAAATTCTAATTCAATACAATTCAAAACAAATAGTAACTATCTACAAGTTCCGAAAATTATTAGTAAGGATGATGGTTCACCGAATTTTAATCTCGAACCAATTATGCCAACGACAAAAACACAGAGTCAAGGGAGCATCTATAACAAAAACACAACATCTTACAACAACAGCGTTCTAGTTGATGCAGATGGGTTTCAAACAAAAATGTCTAGGAGGAATAAACGTAAAATTGTTAGAGGGAATGCTACTTTACAAAATATGTCACTCAAGGCTGCGAAGCGTCTCAGTACTGTCTATGTTGGCAATTTACAACCAAATACAGTGGAAAATGATGTTAATGAATTTTTAAGATCTAAATTTCCAAACTTTGAATTTATAGTTGACAAACTGCCTAGAAGAATTAATGCCAAAAGTGTTTCCTTTAAGGTAACGGTTGATCCAACTATTTACAACGATTTTTTCAAAGAAGAGTTATGGCCGGAAGGTGTTATAATTAAGAAATTTTATTTTTTAAAGAAAAAAGAAGGGGAGGCATCTCAAAATGTAAGGAAGCCTTCAGAAGCACACAATTAGGTCACGTCTTAATGTCAGGTGAAGGCAAAAATCTTGATAGTTTACAGATTTACTATCAAAATGTCCGAGGACTTAGAACAAAGCTAAACGAATTGTGCCATTCAATCCTCAGTGAGTGTTACCCAATAATAGTAATTTCTGAAACGTGGCTGTGTGATGGCATTTTTAATAGTGAATTTATTGATAAAAGATACTGTGTATTTAGGAAAGACAGATCATCTCAAACAAGCATCAAGACTCGAGGGGGTGGAGTGCTCATTGCCATACAGTCCCATTACAGTTCCAGTGAACTTGATGTTAACACATCAAATAGGGAAGAAATTTGGATAAAACTAGTAGTTGGTAAAACTAATATAATTCTCGGGGCTTGCTACATTCCACCAGGATCAGCTCGTCAACTTTATAGTGATCATATTGAATTGGTTAATTGTATTGTGTCACGCTATCCTAATCACATTGTATGCATAGTGGGTGATTACAATTTGCCTGATATTAAGTGGAATGCAGCATCTACAGAAAGCATGTCGGAAGGACTGTATCCATCGAATGTTAGCTGTGACACTGAACGTATCATCTGCGATGGTATGGCTTTTGCCGGCTTGGCTCAACACAATTCCGTACAAAATGTCAACTTTGTAACTCTAGATTTAATTTTTTGTAACCACATCACATTGGTCAATGAATGCTTACCTCTTTTGAAATGTGATAAATACCATCCAGCTGTGATTGCAAACATCTGTGATATTAATACTCCTATTTTGAAATCTATCGAACCGTGTTTTTATCGTGATTTTGGAAATGCCCCCTATGAACTAATTGATAATTACCTATCAAATGTAAACTGGAATTTCTTAAACAATTTCTTTGATATTAATCAATGTGTAAGTGCTTTCTATAGTATAATCAATTATGTAATCGAAACATTCATTCCGTTAAAAAAATGTCAAAATAATAATAAATTTCCCAGTTGGATAGATAATTCTACTAAATCTTTAATTATACAGAAGAAAATAGCTCATAAGGATTATAAAAAATCTAATTCACATTATGATTACGTAAGATTTGCTCAATTAAGATACGAATGTAAAGAGGCTATTCACAATTGTAGACAATTATATATTGATAAGGTGGAAAATAATATAATATCTAATTCAAAAATGTTTTGGAACTATGTAAAAGCCAATAAACAGAACAGTGGCTTTCCTAAAACAATGTATTATAATGACGTGGAAGCTCATTCTTCATTTGACATAGCTGACTTGTTTGCATCATATTTTCAATCTGTATTTAGTCATCCTGATCCCGATGTTAATTTCTGTGATACTTATTACTGTGATACTGCTTTAGATTTAAATTTTATTCATATCACCTACGATGATATCTTGAAAAAAGTGCAATCTTTTAATAACTCTAGTCACCCAGGACCAGATGGTGTTCCTGCGATCTTTGTTAAAAAATGTCTGCTTTCTCTGATTAATCCACTTCAAATAATGTTCAATAAATCATTGTCTTTATCTGTATTTCCAGATTCTTGGAAAAAGTCCTTTATCTTACCAATATTTAAAAGTGGCTCAAGAAATATTATTAGTAATTATCGCGGTGTCTCTAAATTATCATTTATTCCTAAGATCTTTGATGCAATTGTTGCAGATATTTTATTTGCTAGTGTGAAAGAAACTATTATTACTGAGCAACATGGTTTTTTCAGTGGGAGATCAACTACCACCAATTTATTTCTTTTCACGGAATTTGTTACTAATATGAATGAACTGGGATCGGAAGTTGATTGTATTTTTACTGATATTAGCAAAGCATTCGATTCAGTCAACATTAAACATTTGATGAATAAATTAAAACATTTTGGGATATTTGATCCTTTGCTTGGCTGGATAGAATGCTACTTAACAAATCGTAAGTCGCACGTTGAATTTAATGGCATATTATCTAAATCAATTGATGCATGTTCTGGTGTTCCGCAAGGTTCCCACTTGGGACCTATTCTGTTCTTATTATATGTCAACGATGTAAAATATGTATTTCAAAACAGTCTTTTTCTATTATATGCTGATGACTTGAAATTGTTTAGAGCTATCAATTCTCCCTTTGATTGTATTTTACTTCAAAAAGACCTAGATAAGTTTAAAATGTGGTGTTCAGATAATAGTCTTAAGCTTAACGTACACAAATGTAAATCTATGAGATTCTCTAAAAAAATTGTTAAAGTACCTGAATTCAATTATAATATTTCGGATGTAGTTGTAGAACAAGTAGCATATTTTTGTGACTTGGGTGTAATGTTAGATCCAAAATTAGCCTTTACTCTACATGTTGATAAAATTGTCAATAAAATTAATAAAACCTTGGGATTTGTTCTAAGACAATGTCAGGAGTTTACTAGCCTTCGTGTCTTTTGCATTTTATATAACTCATATGTTCGCTCATTATTAGAGTACTGCTGTATAATTTGGTCACCTTACTATCAGCTCTATATATCTAGACTTGAAAAAATTCAAAGAAAGTTCATTAAATTTTTATGTTTTAAACTAAATGTTATATTTGATAAGAATAATTACGAACTCATAGTTAAATATTTCGGGCTTAGTTTCTTAATAAGTCGTCGCCATTACTTTGATTTGTGCTTTGTTTTTAATGTGTTAAATAACCGTGTAAATTGTTCCGACATTCTTAATATGTTTTCTTTACATGTACCTAATCGCGCCACAAGAGGTTCTCATTTGCTCCAAGTGCCTTTCCATCGCACACTATATGCTCAAAAATCTCCGTTATGCCGCATGGCTAAACTGGCGATGGAGTATAATGATCTGAACTTTTGTGGTGTGTCAATTAATGTTTTTAAGAGGGAGCTGAAGAATGCTTTAAATATGTAAAGTGTAACTATTGTTGTGATTTGTAATGGTATATTTCCGTAAATAAACTATTATTATTATTATTATTATTATTATTAAAAAGACCTTTGGCGTCCCCGAGAAGGTATTACATTTTGAAAATAAACATTTGGGACCCCCGAGAAGGTTTCCGTTTTTAAAAAAGGCAGTTGGGACCCCGGAGAATGTTTCACAATAAAAAAATAATACACCTAAGAGTCTCCCGAATTAAAAAAAAAAACACGGTAGCACTCAAGACTTTCAAATTCCTGAAAAATAAAACACCAAAAACTGAAAAGACTGTTTCAAGTTCATCCAGCAACAAAACCCCAGATTCCTTTAAATTTATCCGAAAATGAAACACCAGGGGACCTAAAATTAACTACAAACATTTTAAATTGCTTACTCACTGTTGTTAAATGGATTTTTATCAAATTATTACAAAAATAACACAACCATATCTTTGTACATTCTAAGTGAAATGGTAATTAAATTAAACATGGTCATGGGCCAGAGAAATGTTAAATAAAAGTTTTATTACTTACTAGTTATTGTGATCATGAATGTATTGTTTATTTTTGGGATTCCAGGTAAGTGGTGTTCTAGATTTTCGAGTATGTTCTCTTATTAATGATTTTTTTTTATCATTTGAAGGAATAATACACTCTGTAATTACGGCGTTTAACAATCTATTAATAACTAACTTTCGTGACTGTCTGAATTATATACAATTAGATAAATTTTATTTAATTTACGTCAACTAAGACTTGACGTAAATTAAATTAGTTATTTTGGAAGTTTTCTGCCAAAATGAAAGAACTTCAAGAAACTCGTTCCATCATTCTCCGTCATTCCAAACGAGTTTTGTCAACATGTTGACCACATTTTCTCATTTTGTTATTTAAACTGGATTGGTGTCTGGAACAAGTAAGTGAACAATTTTTTTTAATAAGTAATTGTAACCATAAAGCGCAAGGAATGTCCAAGCGTCATGGTCTACGGTCCATATTTTGACTTTAGGAAAAATCTAGCCGAAACCTAGCAATACATTTTTCTTTGGGGTCTCTCCCAGAAGACCAACTTGTCAACTATTTTAAAGACTACGAAAACAAAATCAAAAAACACTAATTTTTGAAAACACGGCTACCGGAGACGAAAAAGTTCATTGTCCGTACGAAACGCTCATTCTTTGTGCGTCAAAGCCTTCAGAAACAGAGAAAATTTAACAATCGGGAATTAATTATGGAAAATTTTTGTTACGGGGTTTGATGTATTCTGGATCCTTCCAACACTGAACACATGAAAATTAGTAAGTACATTTTAATGGTTTCCATTACAATAATGTGTTTTGGTAACAAAAAAAGACGGCTAACCGATAATATGCTAATAATTAGGAATAAAAAAGTCTCGAGCTGATTTAAAAAAATTACCTTATCATTGCATTTACAATTGCGTCACCAAACGTAAGTGTTTTTCCTATCTGGAACAACATTGCATGCAAAACACTTGTCGTAATTATGAAAGCAAAAAACTGGTATACGTAAATAGCGAGACATCAGTGAATATCAAGCTTTGTGGTGCTTAAGGTAATTCAAAGTAGAACGCCTCCCATAAAAATAAAAATGAACGACGACCCTTTACGCTACTCAAAACACTGCACTTTCCACAAGAGCGACGCCAACAATGCGTTAGAAAAATGTGTCAAATTTTTAAAGTGTCGAGATGGTGACTGCGTCATGGATGTGGGTGCCGGCGAAGGTTCAGTAACTTTTGAAATCCTTGTGCCAAAATTACCAACGAATTTCAACAAACTCGTCCTTTGGGACGTATCCCCAAAATTTTTGCACTTTGCGAAAAATCGAACCCATGACAAACGGGTTGAATTTTTTGAACAGGACATAACAACAAGTACTATTCCAGACGATTTCCGTGGATATTTTGACCACATTTTCTCTTTTTTCTGTTTACATTGGATTCATGACTGGGAAAAGTAAGTAACTAACGTAGTAACAACAAATTGATATGAAAGTGTTAGAAGCGACCAAGCAATGAAGAACATCTTCGACATGCTAAAACCAGGCGGGGACATTCTCTTCACACTTCCCACCCATACTGGACTTTTCGATGTGTGGAGAAATTTAGCCAGAAGTGAGAAATGGAGCCCTTACTTCAAAAACGTAGAAAGTGGTACTTCACCCTACTACGACATCAACGATCCTGCAGAAAAGATGAGAACGTCTTTGGAAGCCGTCGGATTCGTGATCCACGTGTGCAAAAACGAGGAGTGCCTTTACACTTTTCCATCCTTTGATTTTTTTTTCAGTAAGGGCGTGAATGAGTAATTTTCGATGAGTAATGTTGTAACGTTTTAGATTTTGCTATAGCAATAAACCCTTCCTTGGGACTGATTTCAGAAGACGAACGTGATGACTACAACCATGAGTACGCACAAGCAATCCGAAAACACCCGAACATATTGTTTGAACATGCTGGTAGTGAAAACGAACAGGTTCACCTTCCGTATAAGAGGCTCGTTGTATGTGGGTTCAAGCCTGCAAGAACTACACAAATGTAATAAAAATTTTAATAAAAATTGGTCTAAAGAGTTTAGCCTGTACTTCCCTCGCTGTCGGAAACGTTATCAACGGGAATACATTACGTCGGAAGAATGTCACGTAGATCTTTGTTCGATTTGAATGAGTTGATCGCCCCAAAACAGATGACTAAAATTATTCATAAGCCTCCATTGAACAAAGTATTCTAAATGTTATTATTATAATTGTCACCTTATCATTACTTTATTGTCTTTTTCACATTTTCCAGAAAATGGGGTAGCTCGTTCTTAATTTGATCAATAATAAATTGACTGATTCATTAATTTTTTTGAGTCACTTGTTTAAGCAAATCTAAAAAATTGAATGCAATGATTCGGCAAAATTTTGAGATGCCGTAATCAATTTTTTGGGGTTGATAAACATATACATTTTCATTAAAAACTTACTACGCTTACAATAACTTCAAAACGTCAAGATTTCAAAGTATTCAGTTTTGCAATTCTTGATTTAACCAATAAAATAAATCGACTCAGTTATTTTTTTTTCACACACCTCGTATAAGCAAATCTAAAAAATATTCATGCAGTGATAAATCACAATTATAGACTCATCATACTTTGCACAATGCACATTTAAGGTAGCATTTTTTCGGAAAAAATTTGGGGTGGCGCGATCAATTTTTTAGGGGGGGGGGGGGGGTGAGCGAACATATTTTGATCAAAAACTTACCATGCCTATGATAACTTTAAACCATCTCCAAGATTTCAAAGCATTTGGTTTTGTAGTTCCTGATTAAATCAATAAAATAAATTTACGCATTCATTAATATTTTTTGAGTCACCCTGTATATGCCAAGCCAAAAAAAAATAGATGGAGAGGTAAATTACTCATCATATTTTGTACATTTTAGATAGGATTTATTCGGCAAACTTTTCAGGTGACGTCATCAATTTTTTGGAGGGGACAAGTAAATATATTTTGGATAAAAACCTATCATGCTTATCATAACTGTAAACCATCTGCAAGATTTCAAAGCATTCGATTTTGCAGATTACAAATTAAATGTCAAAATTTTGTTTCCTAATTTTGATTTTTTTTTTTCAAAAATCTGGACGTTTCGGGTAAAAATCTCAATTGTCATAAACTACATGTGTTATTTGACACAATTTAAAACCCATTTACTATGTACTTTCGGAGATTATCTGTATAATAAAAATCCGGGACGGCAGACAGACGGACAGACAGACAGACGGAAACGGGAGACCTATTTTTTCGTCCTCTAAGAGTCATGACAGGTCAATTTTTCGTACCAGACACTCGTTGTTTGTGCCCCTTGGAGTTTAAATACCACACAATTTCAGTTTCTAAAGTAGTAGCTAATTATGAAAGTAAAATATCGCCAGGTAAAGTATAACTAGACAATTCTGACTTATGTTGACCGATAAATCGCTAAATGAACTTCAGGAGAGTCGTAACTTTAGGGTAAAGAGATACTCACTACTATTTAAAGTCAGACGAAATGGGACACCACACCAATAAACATGAACGACGACGCTTTACGCTACTCCAAACACTCTGGTCTACACAAGGCAGCCGCCACCACCGTGCTCGACGAAAATTTAAAATTTTTGAAGTGTGAAGATGGCGATTGTATTATGGACGTAGGTGCTGGTGAAGGATCAGTTACCTTGGAAGTCCTTTTTCCAAAACTACCAAACAACTTCAAAAAACTGGTTCTTTGCGACGTGTCGAGTGGTTTACTCGACTTCGCGAAAAACCGAACTGACGACGAACGAATTGATTTTTTTGAAATGGACATCGGTACCAGCGCGATTCCAGACCACTTTCGTCAATATTTCAACCAAATTTTCTCGTTTCATTCCTTGAACTGGATTGGAGACTGGGACAAGTAAGTAACCGTTCCACTAACAATCTCTATTTCACCACAAAATACTAGGCATGTCCAAGCAATGAAGAACATATTCGACATGCTAAAACCAGGCGGCGGCGGTATTCTTTTCATTGTTCTCACCCGTGTTCCCTTATTTGATGTGTGGAAAAATTTAGCCAAAACTGAGAAATGGGCACCTCACTTCAAGAATTTAGCGGAGGTCGTTTCGCCGTATTGTGACGTCAAGGATCCCGCAGACAAGTTGAAAACTTGTTTGGAAAACATCGGATTCGTTCTCCGCGTGTGCAAAAACGAAGACTGCCTCTACACTTTTCCGACTTTTCAATATTTTTTTAGTAATGGTGGAAATGAGTTTTTTCGATGGGTGATATTGTGGTGTTTTAGATATTGCATTATCGGTGAACCCTTTTTTCGAATCGATTTCTGAAGCCGAATGTGCCGAATATGAGCAGGATTACGAGAAAGAACTGAGGAAGCATCCGAAGGTGGTCCATGAGAACGAAAATGGAAAAGTTCTGTTTTTGTACGAGAGGATCGTTGTCTGTGGGCTAAAATCTTAAAGATGGAAATTTTGTAGCAGGCTAACGCAGACTTAGGGCAACTTTTTCTAGAAATTTAGTATGAATGGGTATTCTTCATGTTATTTTGTTATCAAGGGCCTCAATAAAAAGCATTAACAATTTAAGAAATTTGCATACTATTTGTTGCTATAGTTCTGGTACAATAAATTTCACTAAAAAAAAAGTTGTCTAAAAATTCTGAAAAAATTCAGGAATGTAGATCTCGATTTGCTGATTCCAAAAATATAGAATGTTTTTGGTCACGGTGCAAAATATTCGCTTGAATCGGTATGAAATGCGAATTTTTGAAAATTTCTAAAAATTTCGATTTTTCAACGGTCGATTCTGGGAAAACCGTTGCAGTTATCAAAGAAACGAGGCCGAAAGTGAGACCTAGAACTCGAAATGTATAGGAAAATGCATTTAGTTAAGTTTCGAAAATGTCAAAATTTGGCCGAAATTTGAAGAAAAGACCATTGGAAAAATTTCACTAAAAAAAAAGTTGTCTAAAAATTCTGAAAAAATTTAGGGACATTGAGAAGTCGTAAAGACTGAAATATCGGAAAATTGAGAAACCGAAAAATAAAAAAAATCGAGAAATGGAAAATTTGGAGAATCGGAAAATTGAAGAATCAATAAATAGAAAATCCCAACATTGAAACATTTAATAATAATATTTGTGGTTTATGAATCTGCCTTGAATTTTTACACCAGTCATTCAGATTTTCGCAAAAAAATCCCCGTCCACCTTTGTTGCTTACACTGTGACTGATATTATTTTTACTTCTCTTAAAAAATTGAAATATTGAAAAGATCGAAAAATGGAAAAATTGAAGAAGCAAAAAACCGAGAAATTGAAAAATAGAAGAATGAAAATATTAAAAAATTTCAAAACTGAAATGTAGAAAAATTGATAGATCGGTAAATCGAAAAACCGGAAAACCAAAAAATTGAGAATTCGAAAAGTGGAAAAATTGAAAAACCTAAAACTTGATAAAGTGAAAGAAAGATCGAAGAATTAAAGAATTGAAAAAATGAAAAATCGAGAAACTGAAACATGGAAACTTCGAGAAAACGAGAAACGGCCAACTTCAAAAAACCGAAAAATTGAAAAGTCGAAAGATCGATTAGTCGAGAAATCGAAAATTTTGAAACGGCAAAAATTGAAAAATAAAAAAATCGAGAAATCGGGAAATCGAAACATCAAAAATTCGAGAAATCGTGGGGAATTCAAAAAACTGAAAAATTGGAAAATCGAAACGTCCGAGAAACAAGAAATAAAAAAATTTTAAAATCAATTAATCGAGAAATCCAAAAAGGCCAAAAAGTGAAAAATCGAGAAATTGAATTGAAAAACTGAAACCTCGAAAAATCGAGAAATCGAAACATCCAAAATTCGAGAAATCGAGAAATGGGAAATTCAAAGAACTGGAAAATCGAAAAGTCGAAAAATTAAAGAATCTAGAAATTGAAAAGTCGAAGAATCGAGAAATCGAAAAATTAATAATTTAGGAAAGTCAAAAATTAAAAAATTGAAAAACCGAAGAATAGAGACATTGAAAAATCGTAAAATTAAGAAATCGAGAAATTGAAAATTTGAAGAACGACAAATTGAAGAAACGAAGAATTGAAAAATGCCAACACTAAAATATCGAGAAATTGAATAAAAAACTGCAAGATCGAAATTTCAAAAAGTAGCAAAATCGAAAATTTGAACAATCGAGAGATTTAAGAATCGAAAACTTGAAAAATTTAAAAATCCCAACACTAAAGTATTGAGAAATCGAAATGAAGAACTGAAAAATTGAAAAAATGAATAAATGGAGAAATCGAAAAGGGGGAAAAATTGAAAAATCGAGAATTCCCGAATTCGAGAAATTGAAACATCGAAACATGGAAACATCGAAAATTCCAAGAAAAACGGTAAAATCCCAAAACTTTAAAAAATTAAAAATCGAAAAACCAAAATATCGAAAAGTGGGAAAATCGAAAAATCTAAAATTTAAAAAATCGAAACCTGAAAAATTTTGAAAAATTGGAAAAAAAATTGAAGAATTGTAAAAATGAAAAATTGGAAAATCGAAAAACCGAAAAATCGAGAAATCAGAAAGTGGAAAAATCGAAAAACAGAAAACAACTGAAGAATTCAAAGAAAAAAATTGAAAAATCGAAAATGGATTAATTGGGAAATTGAAAACTTCGAAACAGCAAAAATTGAAAAATTAAAAGATCGAGAATTCTTCGAGAAATCGAAACATCAAAAATTAGAAACTCAAAAATTTCAAAAGTCGAAAAATTCAAGAATCGAGAAATGAAATACCGGAAACTAGAAGGCGACAAATTAAAAATCGAGAAATCGAAAATTTGAAGAACCAAGAAATTGAAGAATTGGAAAACTGAAAAATTGGAACACTGAAATATCGAGAAATTGAACTGAAAAATTGAAAACTCGAAAAATCGAGAAATGGAAGCATCCAAAACTCGATAAATCGAGAAAGGGGACCATTGGAAAAATTTCACTAAAAAAGTTTTCTAAAAATTCTGAAAAAATTCAGGGATGTAGATCTCGACTTGCTGATTCCAAAAATATAGAATGTTTATGGTCACGGAGCAAAATATTCGTTAGAATTGGTATGAAATGCGAATTTTTGAATTTTTTTTAAAATTTCGACATTTCAACATCGATACTGGGAAAACGGTTGCGGTTATCAAAGAAACGAGGCCGGAAGTGAGTTCTAGAACCCGAAGTCTAAAAGAAAATGTGTTTTGTTAAGTTTCAAAGATGTAAAAATTTGGCCGAAATTTGAAGAAGGGGGGACGGACCATTGGAAAATTTTCACTAAAAAAAAAGTTGTCTAAAAATTCTGAAAAAATTCGGGGATGTAGATCTCGATTTGCTGATTCCAAAAATATAGAATGTTTATTGCCACGGAGCAAAATATTCGTTACAATCGGTATGAAATGAGGATTTTTGAAAATTTCTAAAAATTTCGACATTTCAACGGTCGATTCTGGGAAAAAGGTTGCAATTATCAAATAAACGAGGCCGGAAGTGAGTTCGAGAACTCGAAATGTACAAGAAAATGCATTTAGTTAAGTTTCGAAAATATCAAAATTTGGCCGAAATTTGAAGGGGGTACCATTGGAAAAATTTCATAAAAAAAAAATTGTTTAAAAATTCTGAAAAAATTCAGGGATGTAGATCTCGATTTGCTGACTGCAAAAATATAGAATGTTTATGGTCACGGAGCAAAATATTCGTTAGAATCGGTATGAAATGAGGATTTTTTAAAATTTCTAAAAATTTCGAATTTTCAACCGACGATTCTGGGAAAACGGTTGCAGTTATCAAAGAAACGAGGCCGGAAGTGAGCTCTAGAACTTGGAATGGACAAGAAAAAGGGTTGAAATTTGTGAAATGGACACATCTTCGAGTAATATTCCAGACCACTTTCGTCAACATTTCGACCACATTTTCTCATTTTTTTGCTTAAACTGGATTGGCGACCGGACAAAGTAAGTAAACACTTTTTTCGATAACTTATTATAAAATGAAACGTCAGGAATATTCAGGCATTTAAGAATATATACGACATGTTGAAACCAGGAGGTGATATCCTAAAACACTGAATCACACAAAAACGATGGTGGATTTTGAACAGGACAAAACAAGTATTGTTCCAGACGAGTTTCGTCGAATTTTTCACATTTTCCCTTTTTCCTGCTTCCATTGAAATTCTTTTTTTAATCGATTTCTGAAGACGAACGCAGATTTAGGCCAACTTTTTCTAGAAACTTAGTTTGGATGGGAAAATTACTAAACTAAAAATTATGTCACGACTGTTTCCTTTGTTCAAAAAAGTATTAATTATGAAATTTAACCCAGGTGCCAATTACGCATAGATAATTTTAACTTATGTTGGCCGATAATTCACTAAACGAAGCATTAACAAAGTTGTAATTCAATGGTAAAAAGATACCCACAACTATTTAAAGGCACGGAACATCAAAAACGAAAAAATGAACGACGACGCTTCACGCTACTCCAAACACTGTGGTTTTCAAAAGAGCGGTGTCACCACAGCCCTCCAAGACTACTCAAAATTTCTCAAGTGTCGAGATGGTGACTACATTATGGATGTGGGGGCAGGTGAAGGATCAGTCACTCTGGACGTCCTTCTGCCAAAATTACCAAAGAACTTCAAGAAAATCGTCCTTTGCGACGTATCCCCAAAATTACTCCAGTTTGCGAAAGCCAAAATTGCCGACGAACGAGTTGATACTTTTGAGATGGATATAGGATCCAGTGGTGTTCCAGACGAATTTCGTCAACATTTCGATCACATTTTTTCATTTTATTGTTTACATTGGATCAGTGACTGGGAAAAGTAAGTAAACCCTCTGTTAACAAGCAAATATTTTACCACAAACTTCAGAAGCGTCCAAGTCATGAAGAACATATTCGAAATGTTGAAACCCCAAGGCGATATTTTTTTTATAATTGTCACCAGTGCTCCAGTTATCGATGTTTGGAAAAATTTAGCCAAAACTGAGAAATGGGCACCTTACTTCAAGAACGCACCAACTTTCCCTTATTATGACATGGAAGATCCAGCAGAAACGTTGAAAACGTGTTTGGAAGACATCGGATTCGTGGTCGACGTGTGCCAAAAAGAAGACTGTCTTTACACTTTTCAGCCATTTTCGGATTTTTTAAGTAATGCGGAATTGAGTCGTTTTCGATAGTAACATTGCGACGTTGTAGATTTTGCAATATCAATCAACCCTTGCTTGGGATCGATTTCAGAAGAAGAACGTGCTAACTACAATCATGTTTATGAAAAAGAGCTCACAAAACATGCGGAGATAGTCTTTGAGAAAATAGGAAGTGAAAGCGAGAAAGTTCACTTCCCGTACAAGAGGCTCGTTGTATGTGGGATAAAGCCTTCAAATGTAACTCTCATCAAATTTTAAAGCAACTCTTACAGAAATTAACTCTTAATAAAAAATGGGTGTGTATTATAATTGCGTCTTCTTATCAAAAGTTTCAATAAAAAAAATGGACTCGGAATTCCAGCGAGATTTTCTGTCTCATTAAATGACACATAACTACGTTATGCGTTTCAACTGGACTCAAAATATTTACTGTTGTTTATATGACTACAAAAGTGCCAAAATTGATTTGAGAAAAATGAGATTTAACAACTTATTAGCATATTAGTTTCATAGCTAACAGATTATCGATGTTACCAATTTTTGGAAAGAACCAATAAATTAATTTTTGACTTATCCGAGAAAGAGACAGCGATGGTGCTCTTCTCTATTCAGTCGACGTAATTATGAAAAATAATATTGCAGACCGTAATAAATAATTAATAATCATCATTAATCACGCATTTTTAAAATATCCCAAAATGTGATCGAAATGTTGACTAAATTCGTCTGGAATCGTGGTCCATTTCACAACTATGAATTCTTTCGTCGACAGTTCGTTGTTTCGCATATTGGAGCAGTTTTGGGGATATTTCACAAAGGAAAAGCTTCTTGAAATTGTTTGGTAATTTCGGCAAAAGCACCTCCAGAGTGACTGATCCTTCACCAGTTCCCACGTCCATGATCCAGTCACCTTGTCGACACTTTAAATATTTTAGACATTGTTCAAGCGCAGCATCAACAATTTACAGTGTTTTGCATCCAATGTTATTTCAGAGAGGAAAAACACTTACGTTGGGTGACGCAATTTTAAATGCATTGATAAGGTAATTTTTTGATTTTGTTTTCAGTCTTTAAAATAGTTGACAAGATGATCTACTGGGAGAGACACCAAAGGAAGATTTATTGCTAAGTTTCGGATAGATTTTTCCAAAAGTCAAAATATGGACCGTGGACCATGATATTATTGCATAGGACCCGGGGTGGGCTAGTTAGCATCATGCTTGCCCGCTACACCTTGGGTCGTGGGTTCGATTCCCGCCATGGCTCTGGGTGTAACGTGTATGTCCCGTTCCCCTGTAATTGGGCCTCAGTGCCTGTTGGGGGACGTAATTAATAAAATAAAAAAAAAAATAAAAAAAAATAAATTACATCAGTTAGGACTTATATCAAAGTTTACTAATGTTCCTTAAGTCTTATCTAGAGGGTCGTTGTCAATATGTTGAGCACCGAGGATTTAAATCTCTATTACTTCCGATTTTTAGCCAACTCTTACAGAAATTAACTTTTAATAAAAAATGGGTGCGTTTTATTATCAAAAGCTTCAATAAAAAGACGATAACAATTTAAGAAATTTGCATACTATTTGTTGCTACAGTTCTGGTACGAAGTTCGAGGTTACAATAATTATGTGGAATTCTGTCTCATTAAATAACACATAAACTATGTTTGCGTTTAAACTGGGCTCAAAGTATTTATTGTTGTTTATACGACTAACAAAGTGTTAAAATTGATTGATACATTTTAGTTAGCATAAAAGTTTCATAGCTTATGATTAAACGATGTTAGCAAAATTTTGGACTTATCCAAGGAAAAGAAGCAATTATGGTGCTCTTCCCTACTCAACACACGTAATTATGAAAACATTATATTGCCAGGCGCAATAATCAATAATCATTAATCCGGTATTTTTAATATATGGCAATCAACAAGGTCTACACCTAATTAAAGACATTAAACGTAAAACATCGCAGTTACTAAATCAAAATGAACGAAGACGGTTTACATTACTCGAAACACTGTGAACTACAGAAAAGAGACGCTGACGTTACGCTTGAACAATGTTTAAAATATTTAAAGTGTCGAAATGGTGACTGCATCATGGATGTGGGAGCAGCCGAAGGATCAGTCACTCTGGAGGTACTTTTGCCGAAATTACCGAACAATTTCAAGCAGCTTCTCCTTTGTGACATATCTCCAAAACTACTCCAATTTGCGAAAAACCGAACCGACGACGAACGAATTGACACTCGTGAAATGGACATAGCTTCAAGTACGATTCCAGACGAGTTTGATCAACATTTCGATCACATTTTCTCATTTTTTTGCTTAAACTGGATTGGTGACCGGACAAAGTAAGTAAACACTTTTGTCAATAACTTATTTTAATATGAAGCGTCAGGAATGTCCAGGCATTTAAGAATATATACGACATGTTAAAACCAGGGGGCGATATCCTTGTCACCATTGCTATCCACAGTCCCTTTTTTGATTTCTGGGAAAACCTGGCCAAAATCGAGAAATGGGCACCTTACTTAAAAAATGTAACAAACCACATTTCACCATATCAAAAAATGCACAATCCCGCACAAGAGCTAAGAAAATCTCTGGAAGTCATCGGCTTCGTGGTCCACGTGTGTGAAAAACAAGATAACTTTTACACATTTCCGTCTTTGTCACATTTGTTGGGTACTAGGGTAAAACAGGCAATTTTTAATTGTAATATTTGAACGTTTCAGAGATTTCAAAAGCAGTCAATCCTTCTTGGGAATTTATCTCACAGGACGAACGCAACAACTATTTCCAAGACTATGAAAAAGAAATCAAAAATCACCCGAAGGTGATTTTTGAAACTGCAACTAAGGCAGAAGGAAAAGTTCGTTTTCCGTACGAGAAGCTCAATGTTTGTGCTTTAAAGCCTCTGAAAGCAAGAGAAAATTAACAATATGGTAATATGGTTGTAGCAGACAATAGGTGTTTTCATGGGTTTCATTGTGAACAGTTTCAATAAAGAAACGACCGACAGTTTTTTCATTAATTCGAAGTTCCATGTGATAATACGGTTAAATGTTGCAACGAAGAAGTCGTAAGTTCATCATAAGAAATGTTTTATCAATGGCATAGAGATATCTGCAACTAATTACGTCGTTCAACGACAACGCCACTAAACAAACTGAAATTAATGAAGACACTTCACAGTACTCAAAACACCGTGAATCACACAAAAAAATGGTGGATTTTGAACAAGCTATAACAAGTATTGTTCTAAACGAGTTCCGTCGATATTTTGACCACATTTTCTCTTTTCCAAAAATATAGAAAGTTTATGGTCACGCAGCAAAATATTCGCTAGAATCGATATGAAATGCGAATTTTTGAAAATTTCAAAAAATTTAGACTTTTCAACCGTCGATTCAGGGAAAACTGTTGCGGTTATCAAACAAACGAGGCCTGAAGTGAGTTCTAGTACTCGAAATGTACAAGTAAATGTGTTTAGTTAAGTTTCGAAAATGTCAAAATTTGGCCCAAATTTGAAGAAGGGGAGACCATTGGAAAAATTTCACTAAAAAAAAGTTGTCTAAAAATTGTGAAAAAATTCAGGGATGTAGATCTCGATTTGCTGATTTCAAAAATATAGAATGTTTATTGTCTCGGAGCAAAATATTTGCTAGAATCGGAATGAAAAGTGAATTTTTGAAAATTTCTAAAAATTTCGACTTTTCAACCGTCGATTCTGGGAAAACGGTTGCAGCTATCAAAGAAACGAGGCCGGAAGTGAGCTCTAGAACTCGAAATGTACAAGAAAATGTGTTTAGTTAAGTTTCGAAAATGTCAAAATTTGGCCGAAATTTGAAGAAGGGGGGACGGACCTTTGGAAAAATTTCATTAAAAAAAAAGTTGTTTAAAAATTCTGAAAAAATTTAGGGATGTAGATCCCGATTTGCTGACTGGAAAGATATAGAATCTTAATGGTCACGGAGCGCAGTATTCGCTAGAATCGGAATGAAATGAGAATTTTTGAAAATTTCAAAAAATTTCGACTTTTCAAGCGTAGATTCTGGGAAAACGGTTGCAGTTATCAAAGAAACGACGCCGGAAATGAGGTCTAGGACTCGAAATGTATAAGAAAATTTTTAGTTAAGTTTCGAAAATGTCAAAATTTGGCCGATCAAGTAAATATTTGTAATAAATGGGAGTCAGCCGGAACTACAACTATTTTAAGGTGAAAAAGTTGTGAGTTATCTAACATGATGGATCTTTCAATATTGTTCAGAAACATCTCGGCAAGTAATAAGGAAAATGATCAACTCACAAATAAGTCTATTGGATGCAGGATTTTAACGAATTTATCACATAATTCACTGTTCACAACTTCCCGGTTTAAACGCTCCAAACACTTTGTGTGAAACACCCTGTCATAATAATTGACGCATTTTGGGCCCTTCACGACTTTGATTTTACATTGTAAACACACGATACTCGACGTGATGGGTTCAAGTGCAGGCGATATCAAAGCTCGAAAAAATCCTGCAGTCGTAAGTTTATCACAAAATTATTGAACTGATCGCACGGAGACGTTAGATTCACTCGAACCAAGACAGCAAAATGAACGACGACGCTTTACACTACTCAAAAAACTGCGACTTCCACAAAAACGACGCTAAAATTGTGCTCGAACAATATCTAAAATTTTTAAAGTGTCGAGATGGTGACTCCATTATGGACGTAGGGGCGGGCGAAGGATCAGTCACTTTGGAAGTCCTTGTGCCAAAATTACCACCGAATTTCAAGAAACTTGTTCTTTGCGATCTATCCCCGAAGTTACTCCACTTTGCAAAAAACAGAACCGACGACGAAAGGGTTGAAATTTGTGAAATGGACATAGCCTCGAGTACTATTCCAGACCACTTTCGTCAACATTTCGACCACATTTTCTCATTTTTTTGTTTAAACTGGATTGGCGACTGGATAAAGTAAGTAAACACGTTTTTCAATAACCGATTTTAATATGAAGCGTCAGGAATGTCCAGGCATTTAAGAATATATACGACATGTTAAAACCAGGAGGCGATATCCTTGTCACCATCGCTATCCACAGTCCCTTTTTTGATTTCTGGGAAAACTTGGCCAAAATCGAGAAATGGGCACCTTATTTAAAAAACGTAACAAATTACATTTCACCATATCAAAAAATGCACGATCCCGCACAAGAGCTAAGAAAATCTCTGGAAGACATCGGCTTCGTGGTCCACGTGTGTGAAAAACAAGATAACTTTTACACTTTTCCGTCTTTGTCACACTTGTTGGGTACTAGGGTAAAACAGGCAATTTTTAATTGTAATATTTGAACGTTTCAGAGATTTCAAAAGCAGTCAATCCTTCTTGGGAATTTCTCTCACAGGACGAACGCAACAACTATTTCCAAGACTATGAAAAAGAAATCAGAAATCACCCGAAGGTGATTTTTGAAACTGCGACTAACGCAGAAGGAAAAGTTCGTTTTCCGTACGAGAAGATCACTGTTTGTGCTTTAAAGCCTCTGAAAGCAAGAGAAAATTAATAATATGGTAATGTGGTTGTAGCAGACAATGGGTGTTTTTATGGGTTTCATTGTGAACAGTTTTAATAAAGAAACGACCGACAGTTTTTTCATTAATTCGAAGTTCCATGTGATAATACGGTTAAATGTTGCAACGAAGAAGTCGTAAGTTCATCATAAGAAATGTTTTATCAATTGCACAGAGATATCTGCAATTAATTACGTCGTTCAACGACAACGCCACTAAACAAACTGAAATTAATAAAGACACTTCACAGTACTCAAAACACCGTGAATCACACAAAAAAGATGGTGGATTTTGAATAAGCCATAACAAGTATTGTTCCAAACGAGTTCCGTCGATATTTTGACCACATTTTCTCTTTTTCGAAAATATAGGAAGTTTATGGTCACGCAGCAAAATATTCGCTAGAATCTTTGAAAATTTCTAAAAATTTCGACTTTTCAACCGACGATTCAGGGAAAACTGTTGCAGTTATCAAAGAAACGAGGCCGGAAGTGAGCTCTAGTACTCAAAATGTACAAGAAAATGTACTTAGTTAAGTTTCGAAAATGTCAATATTTGGCCTAAATTTGAAGAAGGAAAAATTTCAATAAAAAAAAAAGTTGTTTAAAAATTCTGAAAAAATTCAGGGATGTAGATCTCGATTTGCTGACTGCAAAAATATAGAATCTTAATGGTCACGGAGTGAAATATTCGCTAGAATCGGTTTAAAATGCGAATTTTTAAATATTTCTAAAAATTTCGACTTTTCAACCGTCGATTCTGGGAAAACTGTTCCAGTTATCAAAGAAATGAGGCCAGAAGTGATTTCTAGAACTCGAAATGAACAAGAAAATGCGTTTCGTTAAGTTTTGAAAATGTCAAAATTTGGCCGAAATTTGAAGAAGGGAGATCATTGAAAAAATTTCATTAAAAAAAAAAAGTTGTCTAAAAAGTCTGAAAAAATTCAAGGATGTAGATCTCGATTTGCTGATTCCAAAAATATAGAATGTTTATGGTCACGGAGCAAAATATTCGCCAGAATCGGTATGAAATGCGAATTTTTGAAAATTTCTAAAAATTTCGATTTTTCAACCGTCGATTCTGGGAAAACGGTTTGCAGTAATCAAAGAAACGAGGCCAGAAGTAAGTTCTAGTACTCGAAATGTACAAGAAAATGTACTTAGTTAAGTTTCGAAAATGTCAATATTTGGCCTAAATTTGAAGAAGGGGGGACCATTGGAAAAATTTCAATAAAAAAAAAAGTTGTTTAAAAATTCTGAAAAAATTCAGGGATGTAGATCTCGATTTGCTGACTGCAAAAATATAGAATCTTAATGGTCACGGAGCGAAATATTCGCTAGAATCGGTTTGAAATGCGAATTTTTGAAAATTTCTAAAAATTTCGACTTTTCAGCCGACGATTCAGGGAAAACTGTTGCAGTTATCAAAGAAACGAGGCCGGAAGTGAGTTCTAGTACTCGAAATGTACAAGAAAATGTTTTTAGTTAAGTTTCGAAAATGTCAAAATTTGGCCGAAATTTGAAGAAGGGGGAGCTTATATTGGTTTATTTTTTCTTAACACATGAAGTCTTCTTTTCCCAACAAGAAACTAAAAACATGTTTAACTTTCCTGTTGTTGAAAGAAAACTCTATATATATATTAAAAAACCAAGAAAAATTTAACCCCACCCACCCGCCCATCTCTCAATTGTGATGAGTTTCTCATTCCTAATCAGACCGAAGGGCGGAGTTTAACTGCAAAATCCTCATTTCTCTGCAAGAAATTATCATATGAAATATGTTTTTGCATCAATTTCTCTAAAAAATTGTACCCTTTTAAAAACATATTTCATACGGCAATTTTTTGTAGAGGAATGAGGGTTTTGCAACTAAACTCCGCCCTTCAGCTCATGATGAATAAAACATTCATCACAATTGAGAAGGGGTGGGTGGGCGGGGCTAATATTTTGTCAATTTTTTCTTAATATACGTAGTCTTTTTTTTCCAAAAAGAGACTGAAAACATGTTTAACTTCCCCGGTGTTGAAAGAAAACTCTATATATATTAAAAAACAAACAAAAATTAAGCCCCACCCACCTGCCCATCTCTCATTTGTGATGAGTTTTTCATTCCTAATCAGACCGAAGGGCGGAGTTTAACTGCAAAATCCTCATCTCTCTACAAGAAATTATCATATGAAATCTGTTTTCACATCAATATTTCTTTAAAAAAATCTATTCTTTTAAAAACATATTTCATATGGAATTTTTTATAGAGAAATGAGGTTTTTGCAGACTAAACTCCGCTCTTTAGCTTATGATGAATAAAATATTCGTCACAATCGAGAAGGGTGGGTGGGCGGGGCTTATATTTTGTCAATTTTTTCTTAATATACGAAGTCTTTTTTTTTCCAAAAAGTAACTGAAAACATGTTTAACTTCCCCAGTGTTGAAAGAAAACTCTATATATATTAAAA